TTTTTTGCAAAGAGACAATGTGTGTGTGTGTGTGTGTGTGTGTGTGTGTGATTCCTAATGTTTAGAAAACGATTGATATAAGGACTTAAAATAGAACGTTTTGCTTTATCACCAGATAGATAAGCCCAAAGTGATTAGTTCCGTTAAAGGCCATTAAATGTTCTCGCACGTGTACCTGAGTCATATAGATACTGTAACCTACTGATAAAGAGAACTTTAATAAAAATAAGTTCTTTTTCGTTTTGGTTTACAAATAATATTCTCATTCGTCCTTCATTCCTCTCCTTGTGATAAAGGATCAAGGTTTTAATCGTAAAGATAAGACAAAGCAATAAAATAAATATATGAATAAACGTAAAAAATATACGGATGTCAATGTTTTACTTTATTATAGAAATTATAGCAAGATTATAATATGTAAGATACAAATTAAGAGAAATAGAAAGAAAGTGGAATAGAATCGTACCCTTCAGCCTGAATAGTTCCGTTCTTCAAGACAATAATTCTATCGACGTTGTGTAAGTATTGCAGTTGATGAGTCACAATCCGAGTCTTGTTTCCGAGATATTTGTTGATGCATTTTTCAAACATACACTTGCCCACATGGGCATCTACGGCGCTCAAAGGATCGTCCATGAGGTATATGTCAGCGTCGGCATAAACGGCTCTCGCTAAGTTTATTCTGTCATTTATTCATATCTCATTATTATTATTATTATTATATATATTATAACCAATGTGTCTTTTCTAACTAATTATATTTTATATACAATACAAAAACTTCGAAAACAATTAATTGAAATTTGTGTGCTTTCTTAACAAAAATTAATTTTATTAAAACAAAAGTTAAATTAAATCGCATTAATTATATTTAATTAAAGTATACATATAAATTTATTTTTCAATGTTAAAAATAAAAATTCTTATTCCGTATATCAAATGTAAACATTAATAAAACATACGTTTTTTAATATTCATCTCATCGAGAATAGCTTATTTCAAAGATCAAATAAATAAGCAAAGAAAATATTTTTATAATAATCAGAAGAAATAAAAAATTAAATAAATTAATAATCAACAAATTAAAATATAATATTAACTTAAATGTTACGATAGAATGTTAAGAAGAAAGTAAATAAAAATCATATGTAATTATTAACAACTCGGAATTGCAACAACAATAATAATCAGTATAAATAATATATGCTCGTGTTTGACCTATGCATCTATACTGATTAAAAATTATATGATTTTTAATTATTTATTAATTCTAAAAGAGGATCTCTATTAATTATGTACAGATTAAAAAATTTGAAAAATTTTGCAAATTTCATCTTATTAGGATGTCTCTGAAACGGACCTTGCCCGCTGGCCACCGGAAAGACTGATACCTCTCTCGCCTATGATTGTTTTATCACCATAAGGCAGCAGACTGAAATCTCTCTTTAACTGACACACTTCAATCACATGATTGTATCGAACCTGCTCCATATTTCGTCCAAATAAAATATTCTGTCTCACCGATCCGGCAAACAGCCACGGTTCTTGACTGGCATAGGCAATTTTGCCGTTAATCTGTGAAAAAAAGTATATAAAATAATCAATTGGGCCTTGGGTTCTGTCGAGATAAAAAAATTGCGGAATAATGTAAGTCGGAAAGTTCTCTTAACCACAAGTTAACCAGAAAATGA